CATTTTCTTCCTCGTACTCATTATCTGATGATACTGACTTTTGCAGCGAATTATCCTATCCCTTAGTTATTGCTGCTCACCCTCACAAGCCTAACCAATTTGCATTAGGACTTACTGATGGTGGAGTGTGTGTAATTGAGCCACTAGAGTCGGAAGGTGAGTGGGGCACCTTACCTCCACAAGAAGACAATGCTTGTTCAAGCACGGGTCATGCAGATAGTTCTGATCAATTTCAAAGGTAAATAGGTGTATACACGCACGGCCTCCCCATGAAACCAAATGAGCATATTTCTTGTGTTTTAGGAGGATACCATTTTTTTCCTTCCGAAAGAAAAGCTGGATGATATTATGATATAGTTTTAGGTCAGTTTTTTAGTGTTAGTTCAAAGGGCAGAGGTCGTGTTGTAGTTATCTTTACAATGAACAATGGGATTTTTTGTCCATCATCACAATTAAATGATGACAGGTGAAGGTTATTTGATGTCGTGACTGGTCTCAGCAAGGTAGATTTTGTGTAGGCTTGGGCCCTAATTCCTAATTTTGTTTCGTTTGAACTTTTATTTGTTACAACTCCTCGAAAAGTTCATGAATTCAAAAGGTTTCCTCCATCTTAAAAAGGCACTGATTTTTAGCTAATGCAATATGTTTCACTTACAGTGGTTAAGCATGTTGATGCATTGCTTCCTTTATGTGTTTGTATGTATCACTTACACCGTACAGGGGCAGAGGGATGTGGGTTGGGGAGGGATGACTGGTCTTGCAACATTTTTTAATTTTTTTTCGGAGTTATAGAAATTTTTTGATATATACTTGAAACTTATATCAGATGGTAAAGTTCAAATTTTCAACATATAAGTCTTGGTAGTTTAAGCTCCATTATGTTGAAAAAATAGATTTTGTAATAGTGATTTTTTTTAGAGAATGTATGGTTAAAAATGAAGAAAACGTTATGAATTTATGTGTAAAATTATTTTATTTGTTAAAAAATAGTTCGAGAAAAAAATGAGTTTTGAAATAATGTGATCACAGAGAGGCTTTATCTTCTATAATCTCCCCCGTTTTCTTTTATGATGGTAATATAATGATGGCTCCTTATTTATAAGATAAATTAGGGTAAAATTAGTCTATACAATTTAACAGAAATGTTATCTATACTTTGGAATCCAAAGTTTGTTATGAGGCAGGGAAGTGCAGCTATATAGGTTGGTTAGGAGAGTAGGAGACAGCACGGCATTCGGGTTTTTGGTGACCTATGGCTTCCACGGCCACCGTCTTTTTCATTGATAGGCGTAATGATTCAATGAAGGTGTGCGAGCTCATGGAGGTGTTTGGATTATGGGATGTGGAACATATTGGAAGGGATTTTTTGCCTATTGATTTTGGGCAAAATTCTCTCTATTTCTCTCAGTTAGGATAAGGCAGACACGTTGACTTAGCATTTTGAAAAAGAACCGTATGTATTTGATGAATAGCTGGTATAAGTACCTTATTAAATCTAAGGAATCGGATGTTGGGATTAGTCAATTGAGGGAATGGGGTAGGTGTGGGAGAATGTGTGGTCTTTGGAAGCCCCGTCCGAAGTTTGTATCTTTCATTGTCGATTTTTCATGGGGCTCTTCCTAGATTCGGTAATTTGGCATTTAGAAATATTAGCAATGTTACCCAATGCTTTCGGTGTGGGGGGGATGGAGACTTCCATTCATGCCTCGTTCACTTGTAGAGAAGCCAGGGCATTATGCAAACATTTGGGGTGGTGGTGCAGTGAAGGATGTTTAGGGGGTGAGTGACATAGGGAGGTTCTTATGGGCATGGGGAAGGACATTATGCGAAGTGGGTTGTCTTCTTTGGGTTATATGTGTTAGAGAAATAGGTTGTTGTATGGGGTTGTGCCACAGCCTATTTAATTCCTCAACGAACAACTAAAACGAGTGTACCTATTCCTTTTGCATCTCAAAATGTGAGAATGTTAAATATTATACTAGTCTAATCTCTCGAGTTGTAAGAGGGGTTTTATTTTGCTACTCTCTCTTGAATTCAATGAAATAGTATAAATAACCTTTGGTCGCCAAGCTTTATCTCTTGCATACCATAAGACCCTAAACAAATTGTGAGGCAGAGACTCTTTTAGCAATGAAACTGGGAGGTGGAGTTGGAATTTATGGTAAGCAAGAGACAGTGATAAAGATATAAATTTATTTTAAGATCCAGGTGACAACTTTTCCAACATATAAACTTCTAGCAATGGAAAAAGTTATAACATCACTGCACAGTACACGAAATAGTATAAAATAACCTTGTGGCTTTGGTCGCCAAGCTTTGTCTCTTGCATACCATAAATTACCATACCTAACAAATCTCCACCTTTGATGCCAAATATACCTGCAAATTAAAAAACAAGTTTAGTAGTCGCACAATATGATTTCAAATAAAATTGAAATGCCACATACTTTTACTAATATTTAGAAGTGTAAGACAGCTTCTGAACTTTATCAGGGAAAGCACCTTATTGCTCATATCTGTAGGATTATAGTCTAAATGCACTTTCTCAAGCTTTATCAACTCTTGAGATACTACATCTCTAATAAATGCAGCTTAACATTTATATGTTTAGTGCATCCATGAAACATGGGATTTTTATACAAATGAATAGCAAATTGACTATCAGATTATACTATCACGCTATCATTTAAAACACCTAATTCATTAAGTAACCCTCTAATTCACAACGCTTTTTAATAACTTCTGTAGCAAATACTCAGATTCAATGCTAGATAAAGCTACAATATGTTGGAGTTTATACCTTCAACTCACACAAGAGTCATACGGAGTAAACACACCATGCATGTGGAACATGCATGAATAGTGATGTTTGTGTGGAACATTCGGTAAATTGGTTTGGATTGTTGAACCAGTTAAGCTACAGTAGGAATTTCACCAAGTGTGAAAATGAGTGTGAAATAAATGAATAGTGACGGGCAGAGTGGCTCTTATAAGAGAGAGTAGGCTTTTCTTTACCATGGCTGGAAATTTAGGCAAGCAAGCTCTAGTAACCCGTTTTATTGTCTTCTCTAGCACTTACTCTTTTATCCCCGTAGTATGGTTTTGTTGTAATCTTATTATGTAAAAATGGCCTCTGTTTAATTTTTAAATTTTCTTTTGCAGATGCTCCATTTTATTGCATTTGTAATGATGGATTGAGTGATGCGATTCACCGGAAGAACATCATGCATGTGGAGCTGGCTCCAAATGGGCATCCAAAGACAACTTTAACTAGAATTTGTCAAACAGACATTGAATAGGATTCCAAATAAAATTTTTCTTAACGTGCACTTTAATTAAAACTCTCAATTATCTTCAACAAAGAATTCAGATCATACCTAAATTCTAACACAAAACATTGTTTTTCTCAAATAATGATCAAACATGGGCTTAGTAATTCAATCAAATTCTCACTATTTAAAATTCCAAGCGAGAGACTTTGAATCAAAACTTAATGATATTTGATAAATAAATGTGTCATGTTAATCATCTTGAGAGTGGAATACGAATGTGTTTAATCTCATTATTTTTAGAGTATGAGTCCCACTCTAATATGAGCTCAAAGCTGCTCACTCAAAATCATTTTCACAGGCTGCAAACATCGTATATTTAGCAATGAAAGGAGGAGGTGGAGTCGGAATTTGAAGTATCTAAGAGACAGTGTAATGCCACCAAATTCCGACTCAAATGGGTAAAATAATTACAAATTTTTGATAGTCACTATTAATGGCATTCGTTTCAAGAGATTTTAACACGCATGACTTTTTGACTTATCTATGATTTTGTGGGTAGATTGGAATTGTGGAGTCAAGAGGAATAATAAAAAACTTATGCTTTCTCGAATCATGGTGGCCGCCTGACAGTCACTATCAACTTGCAGTTTCTCAACCCACACGACTTTTTCAACATACGACTAGAGTGAATGACAAATCACTTTATAAAGCCAAAGGTATGAACTTTTTCCATCACGAATTGACAGTTTAAATAATCTTTATCACTGTCTCTTGCTTCCCATAAATTCCAACTGCACCTCCCAGATTCATTGCTAAAAGAGTCTCTGCCTCACAATTTGTTTAGGGTCTTCAAATGATCGTGTCTGTTTTCATACCAACTCTAGTGCTTTTCTTTGCCATGGCTGGAAATTCAGGCAAGAAAGCTCTAGTATCCTGCTTATTTGTCTTCTCTAGCACTTATTCTTTTATCCCCGTAGTATGGTTCTTTTGTAATCTGAATATCTAAAAATGGCCATTTTGCAGATGCTGCATATTATTGCATTTGTAATGATGGATTGAGTGATGCGATTTACCAGAAGAACATTGATTATGCTTGTGGAGCTGGAGCAGATTGTACTCCAATTATGCAAAATGGCCCCTGTTTTCAGCCAAATACTGTCGAGAATCACTGTAATTTTGCAGTGAATAGCTATTACCAAAGATATGCTCAGGTTCAGGGGAGTTGTAGCTTCTCAAACACTGTCACTGTAGTTCAAGACCCACCTCGTAAGCCTCCCCTTACACCCAAAAGCAGAATTATACCTTGAATGATGCTAACTTTTCTTTAATTTACAGCTGCAATTTCTGAATGTTTATATTCATCTAGCCCCAGGTATGCTTTCTACCTCTTAAAGATACTCGATCTTTTAATTTATTCGGAGCTTAATCTTTCAAGTTTGTGCTAGAACACGTGCATGAATGTTTTGTAATTTATGAAAAGAACTGAGAGACAATTTTTTTATTTTCCCCATTACAATCTCCCCTATGTGATTATTGGCTAATATGTACAGAGCCGTCGACAGACCGATCATCCATTTCTCCCTCTCAATTAAACTCACTCTTGGAACCGGCTTAGTGGTGACAGTAACGGTAACGGTAATAGGCGTCCTAAAGCTGTTTCAAATGTATAGGAGAAGCGCCCGGGTGAATGAAGGGGAGAACCACCAAGAAGCTGCAAATCATATAAATGGGCCAGGAGAAATCGAGATTAACACTGTAGGTCATGCGTCCATCATGCTTGATAGTGAGGTTTGAGAATTCCAAGTTTTGAGCTACAGATAAGTGTGTTAAGCGTCCATCATGCTTGATATTGATTAAATGAGCAAATTTCTACTTATAATTATGTGATTATTGCTTTTATAAGTACAAATCACCCAAGGAAATAGAACAAGGCAATAAGAGGAAAAAATGATCACAATCGTGCAAAATTATGAATTTGTGGTCCAAAGTGAACAAAACAGAACGTTTAAGGACCTGGGTTTGCAATTTTGAAGGGCACGATTGATATAAAAGTCATATTTGAGGACCAAATTGTACTAAATAGAAGTTTGGGGACCTTAAATGAAAATTACTCGAAAACTTTTGTGCAAAAAGAAAATGAAAACAAACAAAAAAAGAAAAGAAAACAGGAATCGAGAAGTGGCCACTTTAAAATTCTGTGGGACCATTTTAATTTCCTTTTCAAAACCTGGGGACTTGGCTGCAATTTTCTTGGTTTTTATTTTAAAACCAACAGCCTGGGTGTCTTCGTCCTGGGGGGTTTTCCTTTCTGACTTCTTTCTCTTTCTCTTCTTTTTCCTTTTATTTTTCTTGGTATTTTGGAGCAAATCATAGAGCACAGGAGAATGCATTCATGAAGGTAGAGAGATTTTGGGAAAATCAAGTTCAAGCCTTTAACATTTTTAAAAATCCAACAAAAAGGGGTAGTATTTTCTTCATTATCTTCTATTTGCAATGTATTCTATAAAATATTATCCTTTTTAATTATTTATGTAACATGAGCTAAGTTTTATCGTTGAGATTTATAGTTGAAACTTAATCTAGTTTGGATTAATTTCAAATACTTAGCACTCGTTTGTTTCTCATTTTTCATTTATAAAAATGAAAAATATGACCGTTATCCATTACATCAAACCATCAATTTTGAATTTCTATCTCTTGTGTGGGCCCAATAACGACTACATTTTTCATTCTCATTCTACAATAATGAGAATCACACGGACCTTTATTTTCATGTGTTTTTACTATTGTTATTATTGTATTTTCATTTATATGACCAATGAATGATTGTATTTGATGATTTGTACATCTTTCGAGAGAGTATTTATATTTTAGATCAAATAGTAGAATATTTGAGATCAAATAGTAGAAATTTTAGATTTGTGTAAAGGATGGATATATACCACCTAACCCTATTTGACACATTGAGCTATTTTCACAAAAAATTAATACAGTTGTTTGGTTTTAATCGACATGGAGATATAGTAAATTAAATCAATCAATTGTGGTTAATTTCGCTCGAGAAAAGTAATTAACTAAAATTGAAAATTGGGTCTAACATAGTAAATCAGTAATTCATTAATTGGCTTGTGAAGAAATTAAATAAGCGACGATTAAGCGAAATCATAAATTTCAACCACGTTTTCCTCTGAAAATTTCAAGTTTTTATGTTTTTTTAGTTAGTAAAGTTTTAGTTTATTTTTTCCTTATTTTCAAATCATAATTTTAATTGTGTGTGTTTCTTTTTATTGTTGGAACTAAATTAATTGAAGTTGTATAGTCGAAAGTAAACATTCTTCGAAGGATCGACAACTCAAATTCAAAATGTCCATTTTATTACTTGAATACGACCCATGCACTTAGCGAACACATAACAAAGACATTCAAACACACATAAATGTTTATAAGGTGGCATGGTTTTAGAAAGCATTTGGAGTGAAATCTTACCACAAAGCTTAGGAGTTCAAGTACGATTAATTAAAGGGTGAAGTTAGACATAGAGCAAGCACACTCAATAGATGACATTGAACGTAATTAAAAATAAAACATGTTAAATCTTTTATATGTTTTTCATTTCTCTTGTTATAAACAGTATTCTAAAAAGCGTAAAGAGTGGATAGGAGTGTAGGCAAAGTTTCAAGCTTTACGAGCTTAAGCAAACCTAGATGAAGTGTAGGCGTAAAAAAACGTTTTCTTATTTTAATATTATTTTAAATTTTTAATCACTCTAGCTAAAAATCATTTAATAATTAAAATAAAATATACCAAGCATTTAAAATTGTAAAAATACTATATTTATTTAATTATTCATATAATTAGTCAATTATACAATTTTCAAGTTTTTGAAATGTAAAAATTAGATTATTTTTCATACTTTCAATTTTCAACTAGACAAGTCACACTTAAGGTGCGTTTGAGTCATATTACTTTGGAATAATGTATCTTAGAATAGTAGATTGATGGAGAATGTGTGGTTGAAAAAAAAGAACAGTTATTGATGTGATGAAAAATATTATTTTATTGAAAAATGTGTGGTTGAAAATGAGTATAAGAATGAAAATGAAAATTTTAATATGACTCAAACACGGGCTTAATAAATTTATAGGAACTTCATATACACTTTCCGAGTTTTCAACAGAATAATGAGTCTCAATATCATAATTACATAATGTAAATAGCACTGTAACTTAAATTTTATTAAACTCTTTATTGAATAAAGTCATTTTTCTTACTTTTGTACATATAAAGCCTTTTAAAAACTATAAATTAAATTCAAATAAAAGGTATTTTAAAAAATAAAAAATTAATAAACTAAAGTCAAATAAAAGAACTTTTGAAAAAAAAAAATTTAATAAAGAGCGTCTAGGGAAGACAAAAGGGTGGAAGGAAAAAATCCAACCGTTTATGAATGGGAAAAAAAAAGTCTAAGCGCAGAGCGATGCTTTTTGCCCGAGCTTCGGGCCTAAGCGGCTTAAACGAGTTTTTTAGAACACCGATTATAAATGACCCCACAACAGGAAATTGATTTTGTTATAACTAACAATTAAAATGAAGGCTAGACAACGTTTATAATGATACATTCTCTCTTCCTCTTCGTTGTTTTTTGTGTGTTTCTTTTCTCTTTTTACGTTATCTCATTATACATTTATTTTAATTTAAAAAAAAAAACTTGTTCACTTAGTTTCACTTTTTTCCCCCCTTTTTAGTTGTTACTACTTGGCAAATATTTATTTTCTAATTTTTTATTTTATTTTATTTGACTAGTTTGATTAGAGTTATAACAAAATATTCTTCACACCGTACTTTTAGGTATTTTTAAGCATGAAAAACAATTGAACATTATTAAAAAAAGGAAAAAAAAATATTGATTTGGTGACTCAATTTTTAAGTAGCATGTATTGAGCTTGACTATAGATAAGCACCTTTATGTAATTCGAAAAACTTAAAAAGTGTAACGAAATCAAGCAGAAGGAAAATGACAATTTTGTTTTGTATATTGAAAATGTGTACTATAATTGAAATCTATAATTAAAATATTATATGACATATTAAAAGTATGAAAATCAATAAGGAACAATAGTAGGTATGAGATTTAACTTCGTATTTTTGTGTTATTTGACCAAAAAAAGGGGTGGGCGTGGGCGGGGGGGGGGGGGGGAGGGGGGGGGGGGGGGGGGGGGGGGGGGGGGGGGGGGGGGGGGGGGGGGGGGGGGGGGGGGGGGGGGGGGGGGGGGCGGTGGGGGGGGGGGGAGCCGTCCCTTCTACAGTGTATATGTAAAGATCTGCAATGGTGATTCGAACTAATTACTGTGCTACTACACCATGCTGTTTTACAAAATTTAAAGGTAAAGCCCTGGGATGACTAATAAGAACTCATTCCCCCATTTCATACAAATGCTTTTAGCAAAATAACTACAAGTGAGGATAGCAAAAATGTGTGATAAATTTCATAATAATATTGTGGCAATGATAATCTAGATAGTGCAATCAGTAGTTTGATCTTGTTTCTTCCAATTCTCCACCCTGATTTTTTGAAGTTCTTTCTCGCTGGCAGCAATCAGAAGCTTGACAGAGTCGAAGGTTGTAAGCCTTATGCTGTGCAGCTGTGAAGAAAATGGAGAAGGAATTATTAACCACAAAAAATCTACACTCTTAACACTTTAAAAGATCCCAGCCAGCCATCACGAGCCACATACCTAAATTGCATTGTTTATTGAATGATTAACAACTTCTAGCTGGAAACTCAGAGATTGCAATTCCATTTAATTACATTACATTCATCTGTGACTATATACAACTAACAAGACTTTGAATGGCAAAGCTGTAATAGAATTATTATCTCCGACTGCCTTTGTGTTGATCTGATGCAAGTCACAAAGATGGCATGTAAGAGTGTTTGTTATTACTGTAGTCTATAATGTGTAAACTTGTGCAGGAGCTCGTGTTTAAGTAAATTTTCCCATTTCTGAGATATATTTCAGTCACTGCTCAATTACCCTTAAGTTTACCATGTTTGACTTCACTGAGAAATTGATGAAATAGTTAATGGGCTTAGTATTATATTACCTGGAATGGCATCCAAAATTGTCTTGTAAGGAGTACCCCTCATTTGCATTGTCGCCTAACCGTGTCCAGAGAAGCATGTGAGTGTGGCTATTGTGGCTGAGATCAACGCTGTTGCCATGGATGTTTCTGTCCTATTTTGATAATTCTGAGGCAGAGCCTTCTTCACCCTGGCATTCAGAATAGATGCAGAGTTGGAGATATTTTCGACTTGGAGCATGTTTGACTAAACTTAAAAATTCACTTATAAACGTTCTCTTATTCAAACCTAAGTAGCAATTAATTTGGAGAATTGCTAAAAGAGTAATCTCACAAGTGAAAAATGCAAAACTTGACTGCAATGAGCATGTCTGACTAAACTTAAAAATTCACTTATAAACGTTCTCTAATTCAAACCGTAGTAGCAATTAATTTGGAGAATTGCTAAAAGAGTTATCTCACTCGTCTAAAATGCAAAACTTGACTGCAATGTAACTATGTAAGGAGCAATTCCAATAAGAGAAGGTCCTAAACCATTATAAAAGGATGCAACTCCTTCCTCTCTCAACATGTTCAAGGCCACCTGAGAAGAATGCATAGAACTCATTATCAAACGTGGAAAGCCCTTGTGTTACGAATTAGCGCAAATCAAATGCTTTACCTCTAACATTGTTTTATATCGAGGTTCAACAGCCAACCTTAACCTAAAGGACATCTAGAGGATATGTAACTTACAAAGACAAAATACCAGAAGATATAAACATTTGATGAAAGTAAATAAACTTGGTTTTTGAGCGTGTTTGTTCTGAGAGAGAAATGTAGTGATCCTGAATAACATTGTGGACATCAAGTTTTTGCTGTGTGTTCGCAAGAAGTTCTTATGTGACTCTAGCACCACTTAGGTACATAGTACTAATTGAAAAACTCTCACCAAGAAAATTCACTATGAAAGACACACTAGCATGGAGGCCACAAACTTAAGAGTAATCTAACAATACCTAGTTTTTAGTCTATTTCTTTTGTAACTTACAAAAGTTGATGTCATGCCAGCATAAGCACCTGCTGCTAATCTTCCAATTACAGAAAGATCCCAGTCCTTTCCTCAAAAAAGTTTCTGAAAAATGAAATATCAATTTGTCATATAAATGCAAATGTCATATGATGCTATACTTCATTCAAAAGATAGTTTCACCATCAGCTTGTATGTTTCATCGACAAAAAGATGTGCGCCGCTATAAGGTATGATCCGTATCACCTAGAGTATTAAAGGGAAAAAAAGAACAAAAAATCATCTTTAACCACATCTAGAATTATCGAATGACTGCAGAAAGAAGCTCTTACTTGACACCACGAGGAAAAAAGAACAGCATACACGGGGAAGATTTCCTTTCCAGTATTCCTTAATTCCTTCCTCCTTCCCAATTAATGTGAAGGCCTAAACAAATTCGAAAGGTAAAGGATTTGGAATCATTTTACAATATATGGTGAAAATTATAGAAGCAGCATTTTGCGAACTGTGGATTGAGTAAAAGTACAACAATGCAAGAACGGCTGATGATAAAGTACAGAAAGATAAGTTAATGAAAGATAGAATAGCTTGATATTTGGACAATGAAACAATGCTCAAGCTTCCCGAACAAAATGGGAAATGCAACTGCATCAACACTTTTGGCAGTGATGTTACGAACTACGAAAAAGACTAGTCAGAAAATGATGAACTAATCTAGCAGATCACTCATATTACAACCAGGAAAAGAAATATGACAGGTAGAGGCAGTTAGGTTTGAGCATATGCAGCACATACATACGAAAATTGTGTTTTCTTAAGGAGTTACATGATGAGTCCAGCCATTGCAGCTCAGCACCAATCGACTCGGACTTATAGATCTTCTCCAGCTCAGTGCGTGAGTCAGTTTTATTTCGTGATTAAAGGATACTAGAAATGATTTCAGTTAAATACAGTGATGACTAGTCTATATATTGAAACCATAAGCTTGCACAATTTTAGCCTCAAGACCGCGCATAGCCTACAATCACTTTTCATCTTGTTTACTCTGCTATGAATGAAAGCTTTAGCTTCAGAGGTTCCTCAAATCGGGTAGCTTGCATCTTCTCTTCCTTGCAATTTTCCTTCGCATAAGCACTGCTTTTCTATTTTTCTACTTATTTATCTAGGAATGGGAACACAATGGCAAAATTTTGTAGGTTTGGATGGTAAATCTTTTATCCATTAGTATTTTGCAGATAATATCAATTTTATAACACTTCAGCTTATTGCATGGCACAGTCAACGCTCATTGGCTAAGTGTAGATGGTCACCCTTAAAGAATGAATAGAATATAAAAAGTTTCATTCACCCTTAAAGGTAAATAGCTTAGCTATGTAGTCTCTAAATAAAGCGTGAATCTTTCTGAAATTCATCAAGAAATGACCTACTACAGTAAATGTAAAAGGAGAAAATAGGACTATAATGGCTTTTCCATCTATTTGGAAATAAATAATATGCGAGCATGGTGGAATAGAAGAATATCCTTAAATGTATTAGCGGTGAACGCAGTCTGCACATCCTACGGTTCTAGGTTCAATATGCAGTTACTTAGCAGTGTCAATGAAAGTGCATGAAGAACATTTGCAAGCAAACAACTAAGACAATTGGCAAGAAGGACACCATGGAGACCTCGATAAATCATATTGCCTTCCTTACACCTTCTTGCCCAGCTCTAAGCCTATGAGTCTGCAATGCAATGTAAAATGAGAGAAGTATAAGCAACGTGAGAAGCCACATTCTTGCCTTATTTTGGCCCTTCTAAAAGAAACCATAGCCTCATTTACTAGTCATATAAGAATGTACAGCTTTCTAATATTATGATAAAACTTGTAGACACACACAGACGTGTGAAAGCATGGAAAATGAACACTTGCACCAACCTTATTTCCAATCAAGAAAATATTGTGTCCATATGATTAAAAAATACCCGAAGGTGATGACCAGAATGAATCATGTACAATGTGCATAACCACTTTTTAATGTCAAGTATTTTTTTGTTTTTAAATTAAACCTGAAAACTGTAATTGCATTTCTAAATTAGAAGACAGGATTATATGGAAAAGAAAAGGTTAAAATCCTGTTTATTGTAATGTGAAACTGTTGTGTGTTCCAAACTTTGAAACCAACCTTATTAGTAAAGACAAATATGAAAGATTGACATCTTTACTACTCACAAAATTAGAAATAAAAGAAAAATACTGATGAATCTGACGAAAATTTCCTGCAATACAAATCAAGCGACAGATAATTAGAACAAAGGAAGTAGTATTACTGTACTATTATAAAATTAGGGTGAAATTATACCAATAACTGCAAAAATTGCTAAATTATTAAAATAAACCGAAAAAATACCTGCATAACTGCGCGCACCTCAGACCAAAATTGCCTCGCTTGAGGCTGCCTAAAAAGGTCAGGTGCACACCCAGCTTGTACTAGGCACGCGCCTAGGTCTAAGAGAAAAAAAATTTGAAGGCAAGCTTTACACAGGTCCCTTCTTCTCTCTCTACACGCGCGTGTAATTTTCAAGTACCAACCAATTTCTTTGATAATTTTCCAGATGATGTTAGCCTATTGATGGTGCTAATCGACACCAACCCGTTTTTCTGGAACTCCATCAATTCAACTCTTTCCTTCTCCAAGTTCATCTCCAATGTAATTTCCTTTTCAGACCCATCCTCTCTAATTTCCGCATATTATTTTTATATTTCGTTTTTAAATTGAAGAAAATAATTGAATATTAAATTTTTGCTCCATAGGTTCTGGCATTTTTGAACTCGGTACTTTTGTTAAATCAGCTAAACCAAGTTGTAGTGATTGCGACTGGGTACAATTCCTACGATTACGTTTTTGATTCCTCAGCTTTACACAACCATAACCAAAAAGCAGAGAGTCTGTTGCATAAATTGGAGGAGTTTGTGCCTTGTGGGCAAAGATGAGTCACTGTGCTGCGATGACTCAGTTGATGGCCCTGGCTTTTCTTCTTTCAAGCTCCCTCTCCATGGCTCTCTGATGTATCCTTTCCCTTTAATAAGATAATATACCTCTCCATGGACGGTTTTACCCTTGTGTTTGGAAAAACAAAAATCCTATTTTATTTGATTTAATAGTGCATTCTAACGGGAAGTGGATGGAAGGACGTTTTGTGCAAGAAAAGGTAAATGTATGGACGTTATGCGCCAAAAAAATCAAAGGTAAGGACGTTTTCCACAAAAACCTTCAAAGGTAGGGACATTTTGCGCCAATTACCCTTTAGACTAATATGATCGGATCGTGTTAAAAATGGGTTTGATATATCTTGGAAAAGAGTGTTGAATATTATCGGATTATTGATTGACACAAACACGTTAATCTCAATAATCAATGTAAGTCGAGAATTGGAACTAGACGTCAATAAATGAAATCGAGAATTTGAGGAAAAATGAGTTTTGAAATAATGAGGCTCACAAAAGAGCTTTATCTTCTCTAATCTCTCTCTTTTTCTTTTACTATGGTAATACAATGACGACTCCTTATTTATAAGACAAAATAGGGTAAGATCAAAATTTACAATGACACAAATTTTTAAATTATTCTTAATGAAATTTAATCTAGGGGCCCCTTGCACCCCCTGGAAGGAGAGCTTCTTGTCCCTCTTCCGAGCCCCATAACAATCATCCTGCGAAGATCGATACATTAACTGACTTCATACAACGACAATAATTAGACTACACAACTTAACAGAAGGGTCATCTTTCATTTGAAGAAGCTTGTTATGAGGCAGGAAAGTGCTACTGGATGGGTTGGTTGGGAGAGTAGGAAACGACACGATATACGATTTTTGGCGACCATGGCTTCCATGGCCACCGTCTTTTTCATTGATAGGCATAATGAATCAATGAATGTGTGCGATCTTGTGGAGGTGCTTAGACTATGGGATGTGGAACGTATTGGGAGGGATTTTTTGCCTGTTGATTTTGGACAAAATTCTATCTATCCCTCTCGGTTAGGATGGGACAAACACTCTGACTTGGCATTTTGAAAAAGAGCCGTACATATTTGATGAAGAGCTGGTATAAGTACCTTCTTAAATCTAAGGATTCCGATGTTGAAACTAGTCAAAATACGATCTTCGCAAGATATCGAAAACCCAGCAAATCCTAAGTCCTAACCCATATTAAGAGCTTGTTTGGGAGGGATTAATCAGATTAAAATTGAAAATATAGCCGTTATTGTTGACTTTTATTAGACGGGTGGGACCCAATAACGATCATATTTTCAATTTTAATTGAATTTTAAGTCTTCCCGAATGGGGCCTAAACATGTTCCCGTTCTATAGCAATTAGCACTTACCATATCTAATATTGGAATACAGCTAATGCAAATTATAAGTATTGCTGCTTATCACCAGCATTTGTTATGTCATCGCTCTCATCATCTCCCGCTCTCTCTCTCCCCCTCAAATCTACATTCTCTTTAAGAAACGCCCATAAACCCCTCTCTCTCTCTCTCATTCAAGGTGCAATCGCTTCTCTCTATGTTATATATATATATATATATATATATATATATATATATATACACACACACACACCCCTTTATATATCTATATGTATGCTTGTGTCTTGGACACAAGAACATCTATAAAAAAAAACACGCACATCGGAAGCTGACATGCATGCAAGTTTACAAATTTATATGTAGAATCGAAATTTGGGGATTTTGGTTTGAATTAATTTTTATGAGACGCTCTTCTTGATTTTTCCAATTTTGATTATGGATTGTTTATTTTTCATTTCTTTATTTGGTTTTGGCAGCTATGGAAAGTGAGGGAGTAACCAGCATGTGGTCGCTTGATGAAAAACTCGGATTTTTTGATACTTCAATTTCTTGATGAAAATAAAATCGAAGGAATTGCTGTTGATAAGTAAGAATTGAATTCCAGTGTTGAATTTTATTTCATTCTTATTTTTGAGTTTTTTTAGTTGTTCTGATTATTGAGAAAATTGGGAATATTAATCTGTAGTTAATTGTATAATACGGATGAGATGTTAATTTTTGGAAAACCTTGGGAGATTTTACAATATTTATTGGGGTTTGTTTCTTCAGTATATGTAATATCAGCATTTTCCTTCAGTCTAAGATAAATTGGCATCTTCATCTGTGTTGGCTTGCAGCTTGAAGTGGAAGCATCATCTCTGCAAGAACCTGAAACTTAAGCCTGACAAATTAACCCTGTTTGTGGACCATAAGTGCGTAACCAATCAGCTTTTGGGTCGAGTTAATGCTACTACTCGATCGAGCATTGAGGATCGAGTTTCTCCCGCAACATCCACAGTTTCAATGGTATCCTGCTTTCAAGCTTTTAAGAAGGATATCTCTGTTTCCGAAACTCTGATTAATTTCTTTGGCGCAATGGTTAAAAAGCATTTTGCATTTTGCATATTGCTTATTTATACGTGCATTGCATAATATTTCATATGACATTAGTTTTTGTGTGCACTCCTATTACTTATTAGTTTTCAATACTCTATGTTCACTTCGTGATCAGTTTCTTTTTCATTTTCTTAAAAGGGGGATAGCCGAGATTTGTTAGAGGGGAAGAGTAAAGTTGCAGATGAGCACTCTGAGAAATCAATAATCTGGAGACTGACAGAAGTGAAAGAACGATCGCAGTGTCAGTCCCTGAGAGTTCCAGATAGTTTAACGTCGACAAGGGTAATAATTAACTCACCCATCAACCATTTAAAATGCCTAGATAGATATTGGCTTACAAATGGATTTAATTTGACCAGTTTGAACTTCTATCTATTCCTTTAACCTGCTTCATACTTTATAAGCACGGTCATGTGGATAGAGACAAGAATTAACTTTTTACACAAAATTACGATAGCATTAATTCAACTTCTTAAATAGTTTGTTAGTTGTGTTTCTGACCCCTAGAATTTTGACAGTTGGAGAATATAGTTTATTCCGGTCCATTTTCAACATCAAGTGTCCCTACAAACTTCACCACTCAAGTTTCAATCAATTTTTTGGCCACCAACATAGCCTGAGATATATCTAAAGAACTTGCAAGACAATGGAGAGATTGCTAGCATTTAATTTATGGTTTCTGTTTGTTACTGTGACTCTGTGAGGCCCTCTAAATTCTATTCTATCAATTTATCAGGTGTCAAGGTTGATTTATACCAATTCAGGAAATGCCATATTGGCTCTATATGCCAATTCTGTACACAATCTCTGGAAATGGCCAAAAAGTGATGGTAACCCAGCAGGGGAGGTATTGGTCTATTACACTAGAAAGCTACCCAATTTTTTTTTTTATTAACACCTGTAGCATCTTCTTATGCAATTCAATTTCTTGTAGGCAAGAGCAAATACTATGCCTAAATTATGGAAACCTCGTAGCTGGATGCCGATGACCAATCATATTAATCGAATGAATCCTGAAGATAGGGTGCCATGCTTTGCACTGTCCAAGAATGATGCTTATGTTATATCGGCGTCAGGAGGGAAAATCTCTTTATATAATATATCTACCTTCAAAGTAAGTGGGTTTTGTTCTGCTCATGTCTTGCTTTTATCCGTTAAGTGTATAATCATAAAAGTGTTTTCTCTTCTCATCATGTGTTGAAACATATTGGAAGAGTTTGATTTGGGAAGATCCGGACCAAACAATTAATTCTCTTTGGTAGACACGAGTTACACTCAATTTGTTTACTCTGTTAACTTGCTTGTTGTAACATGTTACTCTTTGGTAGACACAAGTTACACTCTTAACATGCTTGTTATAACATTTTTGTTCTATCAACAGACAATGGCAACATTCAAATCCCCTCTACCTGCAGCAACATTTCTGGCATTTCATCCCCAAGACAGTAACATCATAGCAATTGGCATGGATGATTCATCTATCCAAATATATAATGTCAAGGTTGATGAGGTAGTAAATAGTGGTGAACCTCTTGGCTTAAATTTGTGAGTCAAACATGTTAATGAGTCAAGCCATGTTATCATTGCATCTCCTTTATAACAGGTCAAAGCCGAGCTCAAAGCTCATCAGAAAAGGATAACTGGCATTGCCTTCTCTAATATTCTTAACGTGCTCGTATCTTCAGGAGCTGATTCTCAGGTAAGGAGCTTTTGTCGTAGATACTTATACAATTCGTAAAACTGAAGTTCCTATTTGTGTCTATATCTATTCCTTTCTCTAAGCCATCTCACAATAACCATACTGAGAGCACCTGTTTGGGAACAACAAAGTGGACCTAACATGATGATACCTAACAATAAGAGAAATTACTCGTAGGTTTTAGTAAGTAGGCATTTCTTTAACCTCTTTCCTTGTATATTTCGAAATTTATATGTATTGGCCATTTACTTCTGCAAGTAGCCGTTCTTTCCTTTCTTTCAGTTTAAGAAGTTGGCTAAGCATTGCATTGTTAAGAATTGTCTGCCACTGACCCATCTTTGTTTAACCAGTTGTGTGTTTGGAGCATTGATACGTGGGAGAAGCAAACAAGTGAATACTTGCAAAGCCCACCTGGTTGCTCGGCTGCATCTCTTGCAGATACTCATGTACAATTTCACCGGGATCAAACACATTTACTAGTATTCCAAGAGAGACAGATAGCAATATATGAAGTACCTAATTTGACATGCCTTGTGCAGGTGTAGCATATTAACTTACACATGAATATATTTTTCATAAATTATTGCTGCAAATTGATATCTCTCTGTTCCAAAGTTTTTTGACTTTGAATATCGTTCCTTTCTCTGATACTGATGCAATTACTTTCATCGTTTCCTAATCTAAATAGTCTGTACCCCAACGAGCAAGTGGCCGAATCACATGTGCTACATATTCTTGCGATGGCCAATCCATATACATCAGCTTTGAAAATGGAAGTGTAGGTGTTTATACTGCTCCATCATTGTGTTTGAGATGTCGAATCAATTGCTATGCATACGCACCTCCCTATCCAAGGTGCATACTACTGAAATTTCTGAATTTGTTGTTATTCAACTTACAATGAATTCAATCACCAGAAAACTAACTGCGATTATCAAAGTACATTTTTTTCCTTGTACTCATTATCTGATGATACTGACTTTTGCAGCGTATCGGCCTATCCCTTAGTTATTGCTGCTCACCCTTACAAGCCTAACCAATTTGCATTAGGACTTACTGATGGTGGAGTGTGTGTAATTGAGCCACTAGAGTCGGAAGGCGAGTGGGGCACCTTACCTCCACAAGAAAACAGTGCTGGTTCAAGCACGGGTCATGCAGCTAGTTCTGATCAACCTCCAAGATAAATAGGTGCATACACACAGCGGCCACCCCATGAAACCAAATGAGCGTATTTCTCGTGTTTTAGGATAGTACCATTTTCTTCCTTTTGAAGGAAAAGCTGCATGATATGATAATATATTTGTTCAGTTTTTTAAGGTTAGATACTTATCAAATTCGAATTGAAGATGCTTCAGGATGAATATGCTTTGCCTTAAAGAGCAGCATACCAGAAAGGTCACCACTAGTAGGAGGCTAGCTAGTCGGATTAGAGTAAGGAAGAGGGCAGAGGTCGTGTCTGCTATCTTTTAAATGAATAATGGGATTTTTTTGTCTCTGGTTACAAATTAAATGATGACAGGTGAAGGTCATTTGATATCCTGATTGGTCTCGGCAAGGTAGATTTAGTGTAGGCTTGGGCACTAATTCCTAATTTTGTTTCGTTTGAACTTTTTTTTGTTACAATAACTTGAAAAGTTAATGCATTCAAAAGGTTTTCATCGTAAAAAAAGATACTGATTTTTAGCTAGTACAATATGTTTCACTTGTAGTGGTTAAGCATGTTGATGCACTACTTCCTTTATGTGTGTGTATGTATCTCGTGCATCGTACAGGGGCGGATGGATAGGAAGGCTGGGAAGGATCGGCTCTGCAACATTTTTTAATTATTTTTGGAGTTACAAAATTTTTTTGATATATACTTAAAACTTATAGAATAAAGATATCTGTACAGATAGTTATTTGTACGGATAATGTTACATATGCATGCCACGCGTGCACCTATCAAACTATTTATACAGTTATATGGACAAGTAGCACGGTCCAAACTTATATCAAATGATAACGTTCACAGACATTCTGGATTTGTGCCCAGTCTCCAAAGTAGCTTTCCATAAAATCTCCATAAAGGCATTATGGAGTTACCCTTTAAGTTAGTATTTTGTCCCTTTCAAGACGTTTACGAATCCAATTAGCCATATAAACAATTTTCTTAGGATTTTGGACAGTTAGTCCTTAACCTTTAACACTTGTAGCAAATACATCCTCAACATTTAAAATCGTTCTTCTCAATATCCAGCCTTTTATTTCCATTTTCATGGTTTTACTCGATTACTCCCATCTTCTTCTTCTTTTGTTTTTGGTCCGCAAAGAAAGCTTTCGTAAACAAACACGAACTCGTATGTTTTTGGTATGGAGTTTATGATAAAATAGGACCTTGATTAATTTATTTTTTCTATTTTCTTCATTATTTTATTTTTATGTTTGTGTTGTTAGTCCAATTGCTCGTATGTTTTTGGTATGGAGTTTATGATACAATAGGAAATTTTATTGTTATCTTTTAGTTACCATCATTATACCATTAATTGATACAACACTGTAGATTACCGCCACCTCCTCAAAGCAGAAAGAATAACGTTATCTAATACTAATGGTATTGAACACCGGTTTAAATGTCAACATATCATAGATCCTATAAAATTGGTAATCATTCATTGTATTTAATTAAATCCGTAATTTAATACCATTAGTACTGTCACCTAAACTGGTGTTAAAACACCAGTCCTGTTAAATAGTGTTATTTAAGCAAAAATATTGAGACTGCGAATACATGCATACACCTTATCTAATAGACTAGGACCTATGATGCTTCGTCGTAGAGTTAGAAGTGGTGGGCCAAGGTTTGTCTGACGTGGAAGTCTAGTTAGTCAATTGCATATTAAATTATTATTGTATATATACAAATTTCAAAGCTATTTTATGAATTTGTAAATATAGAGAAAAAAACTTTTAACTAAGATTAAAAAAAAAAAAAGTTAAAACACAAAAGTTTTTGGTTCATAATAGATAAAATCTTTGCACAGATTTTGAACTTAGGGTGCGTTTGATTGCAAGGGTGGAAAATGGGTGGAAAGAAAATGTTTTACAGGGAAAAGATTTGCCTAGAAAATGTTTTGCAGGGAAAATGATTTCAAGTGTGTGTGATTGGTATAATTTTCCACCCCGAAAATTTTTAAAATTTCTATTCGTTTGACTTTGTTTTACATGAAAAATGTCTATTAAAGTGATATTTTTTTTCCACAATTGATTATAAAATTTGTTTCCATTGCCAAAAAGTAAAAAAAAAAGGGGGAAAAAATTGTTCCCTAAAAAATCATTTTTTTAATCAAAGTTTAGTGTTCGTTTGACTTTGTTTTACATGGAAATTGTCCATTAAAGTGAATTTTTTTTTACNGTGAAATTTTTTTTACCATTAGTTATGATATTTGTTTCCATTGCTCAGAAAAAAAAAAATTCTAGCCAGTCAGGAAAACATTTTCCCACCAAAAAGGCGGGAAAACATTTTCATCAAAGACTCGGAAATTGCACACGTCTGGGGAAAATTCGGAAAATATTTTCCGTGGAAAATTTTGCCTATCAAACAGCCAAAAAAGTGAAAAGTGGAAAATATTTTCCTACTTCCCCAAAAAATGTGGCCTATCAAACATGGCCTCAAAGAAAGCAAACGCTGAACTTAAATGGCAGTCAATTAGTACACACTCATATACTCACATACCCTGCTTCTAAATTGGCTAGATTCATCTAATCTCAGCATATGGATATTTACAACAACATTCACCATTATCCATGACTGAACAACTCAAAGTTGAAAGTATTAATTCACAACAAATGGAATCCCAGCAATATTTCAATGTCGATTGAACGAAAGATGGGTAATAAGTTACATTGGTAATGCAATCTTGAAGAGCTCTAATTAGTTATTACTACTTGTGACGTCTGCCTGGCTTTGTATGTCTTTTTCGGTTGCCTGAAGATGACTGACTTGATTCTACCGGCAAAACAGTCCCTCCCTTGATGCTGTCTGAATCGTTCATGTTTGCAACCGTTCGCTGGGCTTCAACATAAATTTTTAAGTCTCTAATCTGCAGGAAAAATATTACATTTTTAAGTGGTTAAACTGCATTCGATATACAATATGTAATGTAATCAAGGTCTAAAGAAGTTTAATGCAACTGTCAAAGACGCAGAACCAGACCTGCTCTTGTAGATCTATTACTTTTTCCTCCTTAGACTTGAGAGAGAGTCTTTCCCTATAAATTGAGAAATCGAAATTTAATCAACTCGATAAGCTTAGAGCTGTCAAAGTCCAATTTATTTCAAGAAATGGAAAGGATCCAGTGATGTTTTCATAATTTGCATTGAAAACACATCATCATGCTAGTACCAACAAATGAAACTTTAAGTAACAGCAAAATTCTTTTCATGTTGAATTGATTTTTTGGAAAAACAAAGGAGAGAACTAGAGACTAAATGACAATGAAAAATCAATGTTTAAAGATAAACATATTAAAAGATCGGATAGCGGTTCATTTTATTTTTTCATCTTTCACCACTAAAAATGTGTGACCATAAAGAAAAGTTAAGGAAATCAAAAGGCTCAAACATTAACATAGGCAATATTTTCATAATTCTTCTGTNAAATTTACATGTAAATGGAGAGAGAGAAGGTTGTACCTTTCTTCAATTTCCTTAAACTTTTTCTGCAGCAATTCTTGTTGTTTCATTAGCTCTTGATTCCTCTAAAAGAAGAACGAGAAGACATTTTAGGTCAAAATGTTAGATGAGATAATAAAAATATAAGCCACACAAAGATACAAAATATGAAGTATCCAGGAAGAACAGGATATTTACATCTGCAACAGCCTTCTTTTCCTCTTCGTAACTTTCCAATTTATCTTGCAAATCATGTGTCCTTGAAAATATCGCCTTCTCAACTGCTTTTGCTATTGAGCTTTCCTTCCTACTCTTTGCCTCAGCGAGTAAAGATTCATAATGCTGACAGAGAAAATGTGAAAAGTTCAGAAGGACTCACATAAAACTTTACTCTTCGAACATGTTACAAACTTGAGATCTGTTGCTAGTACAAATTCATTTTGTTGTCTAAGATTAAACCTTCAATTATTTCAGCACATATAGGAACTAGCAAACTCCACCTATATTTCATAGCCAATTCAAATAAATGACGGAAGGAGGGATGTAGTACGTTGAAAACCAGCAAAAACTGTCACACTATAGGATATGAAATGTTATACAAGCTTTTTGGGGGCATCCCCATCTAGCGAGTGCTGCATCAGATCCTGAGTGCAGTGAAAAGTTGGCAAAGGTAAGCTAGGGGATTCCCATAAGTGATGCAGGTGCCTGACGGTGGCAAAAGCAAGCAACGGTTGTAGAAGGAATCAAAGAAGTCAGTCCTGAACAAATGGAATTTGGATAGGATCTCTAAATATTGGGATGCTTCACAGAAAATCCTTAGAAACTAGTAGATGTGATGCATAGAAGGAAAATAGCTTGCATACATGGTCAAGGGGGTTGGGGGGGGGGGGGAATATGAAACAAATAGGGAACACGGGATATGAAATTTTGGTAATATATGCAAGGAAAATAACAGAAAATGGGTAGGAATATTCATTGAACCAGGTTTAGAACAGGAGATTTAGAAATTTAAAAGAGTTGGGAACAGGTCATTATTGTAGTCCTATGTGAAGGGAATTAAAATAAGATTTTTAGTAGATTTTGATTAAAGTTGATGAAATGTGGAGTTAAAAAGTTGTGGATCCAATGAAATAAGTGGTTAAAATTAATTGTTCACTTCGATTTAAATTAAAATCTAGATTTTAATCTCTACCAAACCAAAGCATAATATTATTAAAGAGTACATGAAAATTTGGCCTTGGGAAATCGAAATGTAGAAGGTAACACTAATGAGCTTTGGGATGATATATGATTTGGGGTTAGCAAATACATATACATACTACAAAAAGAGAGATCCCAACTTATAACTTCTTAAAATAGACAATAGTTTAGTCAAATAAATTTCTTCTTCGATATAGAAGTGAATAGTTGTGCAAGGATTGGATTAGAAGAAGCCAGTGACCGTGTCACAGAAGTGCTATTGTAGGTGTAGAAATTTATGGGCCTAACTCATCTTACCAAAACCGGTTCGACAAGAGAGGTTTGCCACATTGTTTATAAATTGGCCCAAGATATTGTCCACAGGCGATGTGAGATTTATTTCCAACACCCTCCCTCACGTGCAGGCCAGTAATTTTTTCTGGTCCTTGTCACGGGGTAAGTAGTGTGGGCCCATATCAATCCTGCGGTAGGCTCTGATACCATGTAGAAATTCATGGGCCTAACTCATCTCACAAAATCGGTTCGACAAGAGAGGTTTGCCACATTGTTTATAAACTGGCCCAAGATATTGTCCACAGGCGATGTGAGATTTATTTCCAACAGTAGGTATCAGAGAGCAAATGAATTTATATTATATCAATACTATTAAAGATGCATATGATGGAGCAATAAGAAAGTGTGAGATGTAACAGCAGTATCACCAGAGATTTGCATCAAGGTTCTACTTTAAGTCCTTTATCTTTTCACTTGAATTGTGATAAGCTTATGGTACAAATTCAAGATGAGGTTTTTTGATGTATATAATTCGCTAATGACATTTTTAGTTAAATAGAGTAGAAGGGGTTAAATCGTAAGTTAGCATGACAAAAAATGGTACAAGAATCCTGTGTGGAAGGGAGATCTTAGGTTAAGCCCCTGTTTTGTACACATTATTTTTGGCCAAATAGAAAAAATCCGACCGTTGCAACAGACAAAGCCTGACAAAAGGTTCAGCTCTACAGTGCCAATTTTGACAATTTCTGAATTGGACTTCCACATTTACCCTCGCTGTCATTTAAAATTCAACAGCAAAAAAATGATTAAAGGGCAAAGTTGTAAAAAATCACTACAATCCATTTGACTACAAAACCAAGCTACAAACGTGGGACCCACCTGATGTGATGCTAGAATGCATTTTTTTGGAAAATAATGTGTACCAAACAAGGGCTAAAAGCCCAATTATAGCGAGCAGCTATAGACTTGTTATACTAGTACTACATGTTGAGCTGTTAAAAGACAATATTAATACGATGAATGCAGCAGAAATGAGGATGATAAGATATGTGTCGTCATACTAAAATGAATAAGAAAAAAAAAGTGAAATTATATGCCAATAAGTGGAGGTAGGAAGATATTGAGGATATATTAAGGGAAAGATGACTGAAGTGTCCATGTCTAGCAGAGATCAAAGAAACTCCATTTAGAAGAGTTATACGAATAAAGTAGAACGGATTAGTAGAGAGAGGGGTAGACCAATACTAAAATGACATGCTATTAAGTGCCTAGTTACTGTGAATCTTCTAGTAGATGTAATAACGAACCAAAACGACCCTAAATTTATAGGAACAAGAATAAGTTGTTGTAGCTATACTTGAACAACAGATGATGGGTTTAACATACAAAATAACCACATAACAAGTGTAAATTCAAATTATCAATAGCCAAAAATTGTGAATACAGGCTTCCACTTACTTTTCTCTGAATCTCCAGCTGACTTGCTAGAAGATGGTTGTACTCATCCAAAATCTATTGCCATAAGAATAAACTTTAACACATTAATCCAGCACTCAAACCACAAGAAGTTAATAAAAATAAAGTACAAAATGTTGGTCATAGCTAATAATAATTTTGTCTTTCACGTTTTTGACACGGGAATGCTTAAAATGAAAAATTCAACCTTTGGGCCAGCCAAATGCTTCTATGAATGTCAACTAACCAAGAGCTATCTCAATCAAGTCAAAAATAAAGCACATGTGTAATTTCAACACAACTAAGGGTCCATTTGATTGCAAGAATGGAATTCAATTTCTTGTGGTTTGTAATTTTATTGGGAATTGTCAATTAATTGAATTTGATTGGTATAATTTTCCACTTGGAATATATTGGATGTTTTGGTGTTCGTTTGACTTTATTTTCCATAGAAATTGTCCATTAAATGAATAAAATTTGTTACAATTGAGGATAAAATTTGTTTCCATTACAAAAAAAATTAAAAAATTTAAAAAAATGTTGTCTAGAAAAGCTTTTTCTTCAAAAACCAAGAAAATGTGAGCATGTGGGTGAAAGATGGAAAACCAATTCCATGAAAAAATTGGGCAATCAAACATGCAAAAAGGTGGAAAATGGAATTTAATTTCCATCTTCCATGGCATTGATGTGCAATCAAACATGGCCTAAATGTATTGTTTGTGAGAAAATGAATAAGAAGTACCGCTTCAACTTTGCTGCTGAAAAGGGCACTACCTAATTCTTCCCCTCCATCACACCCACAAGTGCCACATTCTCCAACTGAATTGCAGTGTGAATTTATCATGACCGATTTGCCAACACCTTTTGATTGATTTAGTCGATGAACATATCTGTCTCCAACATAATCCCAAATTTGTTGTTTTTCTACTTCAAGTGAAAAGCGATGTTGTTTATCACTCCAATGTCCACTAGCATGACCTTCTTCATACCTATATTGCACATATTGATATCAATCAGATACATTTCCACATCAATGAAGTAAAATATATATGATTAAATGAAAACGACATGGATATAAAAAATTAGGCAATCAAATAACTAAAACCAAGTCTCCTTTACCTTCCACATCCTACAAAACCACAGATCAAGCAGACCCAAAGGTTGTTTAAAGTTCCACACACAGCACAGGCTGGTTTCTCATCTTGTTGTTGACAAAGCCGACAAACCTGCCAACAAGAATAAAACAAACGATGCAATATTGTCAGATGTCATCAGATATTTTAATTTTTCATAATACAGCACTAAGCTCACATCAATAATTGATAATCTAGCATTCTACTGCAAAAGTGAATAACCAAAAACGTTACTTCCACAGAATGTAAAAGAGTCCATATTTGCTTCAGTAAAATAATTAAAACATTACAATGTTTATAATGAAGGTATTTTTTTCCTTAAAGTTGGTCTTTTATTTTCTCATTTGTTGGAGGTCAGGCCTAGACCCCCTTCCATTTCTAAACTTTTGTTTCTGATGTAATAAATCACCATCAATTTAAAAGTAAAAAAAAAAAAGCAACCAAAACACATTTTAATGTGTGTGTGTTTTGATTGCTTTTGTTTGTTTGTTCCATATGGTCTCAGAACTCCAAAATTATAGATCAGCTCAAATTTGTGCCAGGATAATGGTCTCGTTTTGACCAGGTCAACGTTGATGTTGAATCTTGAACACAAAATTCAAGTTTGTCCTCACTTAAAAAACTCATAGCTTTGGATGAGGTGGTTCAATATAATATTAGAGTAGTTAAAGGCCTAAGTTCAAGTGTTGCCGCCACCTAGTTATGGAAATTGCGCATGTCATACTTTTGATTTAAAAATGGATTCTGGCCAAAATTTAATAAATAAATTTGTCCCTTCTTAAGAACTTAAGATTTTAGATGAAGTGATTCAACTATCAACAAAATCACCAAAACATCCCGAGACACCTTGGAGACTTCCGACACTGATGAATGTTATTTGCAATCGATGTGCACACAAGTCTAGACAGAATGTCTAGAGAGCCTTTTGTTTGGCGAAAAGAGCTTCTAAAGCTTATAAAATATGTTCTTCGAGAAAAGTCCACAACATCAAAAGCTAAGATCTTCAAGACCACATTAGTTGTTTTACAAGAGTTGAGGTACACCAACTAAAATCGTAAGAGTTACTCTTTAGTTTGAGAAAATAAATTAGTCAATTCCAAAATTAATCTTCTTACAAAATAATCAGACCACCAATACATCAGTTGTGCAAATGCAAATAGCTCCTAAACTCCCATCCACCGAAGCATGTTGCATGGAATCAATTGATGGGTTCCATGCACCTTTCTTATTGCAAAGAGTGATTTATCAGAGATCACCCATGTATTCTTTACTTTATGTTTTATAATATTTTTCCAGACCAATCAATGTGATGACGGGTTGATTATCCAATTATGTCCTATTATCAATTATTATGCGCTATAATATATTTGATAAATTTAACAAAGAGATCTCAGCATTTGATAAAAGGAAAGGAAGGGAGAACGCATGGAGCAATATACAACTGTCTTGAAGTCTCCCATATAGACAGCTCAATCAGTTTTCTCTTATTCTCTTCACCCTATTGTTTTGGCAAATATAATAAATACAAACTTCTAAGTACATTATATAAATTAATTATTTTTTAAGGTCTTATATACATGCTGCTTTACTGGCCATGCCAAGCTTCTATACACACAGCCATATTTGCTGCAACAAATGTATGCATATTTGTTCATTTCAATGAGATGACTCTTAACACTTGCGGTGCAGCATAAGCTCAACAACGTTGACTATAATTCTAGTAAAAAATCATCAACATGGCATCAGTTTCCATGTTGCTTTTACGAGTGCATCTTCCTAGTCAGATATACAATCCTTTTCTCCAGATTCATGTAGCATCAAATAAACCAACCCCTTGGGGCTCATTTCCAAAAGAGGCAGGGGGGGGGGGGGGGGGGGGGGGGGGGGNGGGGGGGGGGGGGGGGGGAGTGAATCCACTCACAGAACAGATTTATCGGGTATTCCTAGTTCATTTATGACAAGAAACAACTCGTAGTATGGATCAACCTTATCAATATGTTCTAGGAGACCCATAATGTGAGTTCATTTGAAATACTTTTAACCAAGAAAGCTCAAGATATTTTGATTTGCAAGGCTTTTCGAGGCCAAGTGAATTTTGTCATTACCACAACTTCTCTTTACATAACCAAATTGCATTTAAAACATGCTCATAACTAAGGTAACATATCAATATTACATAGAGAATTTTTCCCCTTAAGAAGGAAAAGCAAATGATTCAAGTTCTTTATCCAGCACATTAGGATATAGATCAGCCAAAGTTGCCAGTAGGTCAATTGGAAACTAAATCAGCAACAAATCAACCTATATTCTCTAAAACAGCAAAATAAAACATTACTGCAGTGGTATAATAAAACACCTAGCACCATGAACACAAACAAGTAATTACAAAATGAAAAGCAAAAAGCAAATAGGTGGATAAATTTACCAGGCAAGATAAGTAGGTCCACTTTGAAACGCATGAACATTGAAATGAATGGTCACACAGTGTACTCTGTATTCCACTAGTATCATAGTCCAATCTCTCTGATATTTTCAACAAAATGTACACATCATTACTAGAGATCTTGTTGCATATAAATGAAAAGGTAGTTAAATAAGTCAAGAAGATGCCTTAAGGAAAAAAGAAGATGAAAAAGTACAGAATCACCGACACAATTTTAATTATGCATACAGATAATGAGCATATGCTAGCAAGGTAGACAGACCAAGACAAACCGGGCAAGTGGGCAATTCAGCAAATTCAGATGGAGGAGTATTGGCAATTTCTGCTGACGTGGTATACTGAACTGATTGGGCAAAATACATATGGCAAACCTCAACCTGGAAATTCAGTCAAATTATTAAAATAAAATTTGAAAGACAGCATTCATTCTAAGAGCAAATGAATGCATGTTTGCAGTATTAAGATCAGACAGTACCTCAGACGGCTTGAATTTTTTGCCATTGAAATTTAAATAAAACCCATCAGCAGAAAACTGATTTTCTAACCTGATCAACACACTGTACCTATCCTCCACTGCATCATTTCTGTTCCGATGCACAGGGGAAAAAAAAAAAAAAAAACACAACTAAGCAAGCTAATATTCAAAATGTGGATAATAAACAAAAACATCAGAAAGAAGGAAGAAAGAACATGTACATATTGCAGTGCCCAAGAGCAAAAAAAAAAAAATCACTTCCATCAAGAAAGAGTTAAGTTCTGCCTCATATAACTCCAATCCATTTAGGAAGTGAGGAGTTATTTAGGCGGTATTATTCTAATATTTTTCAAATATAAAATTCCATTTCAAACATGTGGAGTAGAAAATGTTGTATTTTCCCACTTGTTCCTTGTTTCCATTATGTGCTAACACAAACTTGAGAATTGGCAAGATTCATATCCAAAAATCTCTTTTCAATAAGGTGCTAACCAACAAGTCGTCAAAACTTGAAAATTACCCTTCAAGCTTTATAAAGTCCTTGGCCTTGTCATATTTTGGGGTTAAGCCTTATTGCTTCTAATGACATGAGTCTCCATGGACTCAAAACTCAAGCGATTGGAATTATGTACATGATTATGCAAGGAAAGACAATGAAGGTCTGTGCATCTCAAAATTAGGAGAACTTTCACCTTCCAAATAAAAAGTTATCACCCAATAAGATTATAATGCGAATATTATCATTCAATAACTTAGGAGAAAAAATGAAAATAAAGGCTGTAGCAAAAAATAAATAAATAAATAAAAATCCCAAGGCACGAACGAGAGCATAAGCAGCACGACAAGTATTCTCATAAAAGAAAGGGAAATGATATTCATATTCAAAAAGGGAAATGCATAAATCAATGCAAAGAAGACTATTTTCCATTGAGTCAACCACCTTCGAAGGTAGAGGTGGTTAAAGTACAGTGAATTGAAAAAGTTTTTAGTAATACCAAATACAAAGACTTCCATACCTGTGGACCTAGGATATCTCTCAATTTGATTTACCATTTTTTATTGCAATTACATCAATAAAATAACTATTTATGTGTAGGACTATATAATTATCTTAAATTAGTTGCACTACATGAGATGTCATATTATTGTAAAGATAATTCCAAATGCAACTTAGTGCTCCACGACATATTATTATAACTAAAGATGTTTAAAGTACAAGTACAACAATATATCGAAAACCTCAATCTACGTCTCAAAATATAAGATTATCCAGTAATTATTTCTTAGTTATCAACATTTCATTCAACGGAAGTAAACACCGCGCCTTGCTCATACATCCAAAGCAACATCTTGATATCTAAAAACTTTATCGAAATAAATACAAATTTGGTTTGTTATATATACATAAACAATAATAGTGCATGCCCATTGGTTTAAGGATATTCATGTATAAACTTCAAGATACACTAACAAAAACATCTAGAGTAGAGAACTACCCTTCCATTGCATGTGTGAACATATTTAAGAATAAGATTATTGCAGAAATCAGCCTTCGCATTTGCTCCATAGAATGGTAGTGGATGGCTGAGGTGCCTCTTTTCAAAAATCTTTCTTCAATAGTCAATTTAACGTCAATTAAGAACAACCATGAATGAAAACTTAGTAGTCCATTTCAATTGCACATCCGCAGAGTCAAATGCATAATAACAGCCATGAAGGCCAGTCCTTATCTTTTCTCATATCTATTGTAGGTTGTACAGACGGAGACCAAACTTTTTAAATTCAATCAAATGTTAATATTTATGACTAACAACAGCAATGACACTTCGGAAGTGACTAGCCCATTCCACTTGAGTCATTTAGGGTTTAACAAAACTTTTAATGTTAAATTATGGTTCAAACATGTTCACAATAGAATAAGTCAGCAAATTTATTGTACATCGTGCATCCTATAATGTTCTGTGCTCTGCTATCTCACCAAAGTGTCATTAATTCACTAGGCACACTGAATACACGCTTCTGCATCATATAAATTCAATTATTGCCTTTCTTTCCATATATACATACACGCTCACATAGGATATGCAGTAGAGAATTTGAAATAAAGGTACCATAAGAAGAGGATTTTAGAGATGTGAGGGAGGTAGGATTCGCAGAAGAGGAAGAAGTCATATGGGGAGAAATGGTTGGGCACAGCCACCACAAAAAGTATGGTTGAGCGGGCACTTGGACTGGACAAGGTGATACCGATAGAGGTGTGTGAAAGTTTCCGAAAGAGGGGAATGACGCCTTTGAGTTCTGCCGTCTTCAAATTGTTAGGGTTCTCAGGGGTAACGGCGATGACGGATGCGTTAAGGGGTTGAGGGAAGTTCACAGTGTGGATTTTGAGGGTAAACGTCTCTCTTCGATCTTGAGAGGAAAGCGCAAATTGTTGCTTGCCTAAATCAAGTGTCTTGCAAAGTCTTAAGATATTTTTGGTCTATTTCGAACATATTCATGAAAAAAATTATGAAGTCAGTTGAATTTTGGCAAGAGATCAAATTGTATCTCCACCTGAAATTTGCCAGCAAAAAACAAATTCATTTGTTTTGGTAAATTTGACTTATGTAGGCCATCTAACTTACAGGTACGTTGATCCTTCAACTTTAACTTTATTCAAATTGATAAGCAACTTATATTTTATTTAATTTGATCATCCAGCTCATGTGTTTAATTGTAAGTTGACTATTCCTTCTGTTATCGTTAGACAAACTAGTGAAATTTGTAACCTAGCTTGTGGAATTCGTGACTTGATCAATTAAATTTGAGACCTAGCCTACATAATGAGGCCAATCTGCCACAGCGGAAGACTCACTTTTTTCAAAAAAAATAAACATGTGATTCATATTTTTTAGCACCTAGCAAAATTGTGTTGCTAAAACATAAGTTGGGTCACAAATTTCATTGGCCAGTTCACAAATTTCGAGAGTTCGATAATGGTTTTAGACGGAATGGTCAAACTATTATTTTACCAACTCAAAACATATAGAAGTTGAGTGAACACATGAATTACCCAAAAATGAAAAGTAGAGATATCAAGGTGTAGTCTAGTATGTGTAGTTGAACTTGAGAAATTCAAGGAGATAGTATTCCAAACTACAATCAAGATTCAAATCGGTAATTGAGAAAAATTGACAGGTGTTCTATACACATATTAAATGAAAATTGAATTGAAATGTTCTTCCAAAACTATTTAAAAGGTGCAACAAAATAATAGTATTTCCATCAAGAGAGATCTCGACAAAAAGACAAGATCATCTGACAGTTCCTCTCTCCACTTGTTAGATATAAAAAGCTTTATTTATAAGATTCTTCAAAATACCTAAAATAGTTACCTATTATTACGTACTTGATTATGTGAGGAGCGACCAGTCAAGGTCCATGAACCCAAGGATAAGAGAATTTTCTCCTTCAAGGAAAAAGTGAACACCTCATAACAATAGTGTGTGAATATTATCATTCAAAAAACTAGGAAACTGCATCCCCTTTCCAGGAGTGTTAGTAGTGCTTGTGATTGAGGGAGAATGGAAAAAGGTAAACAAAAACCATAGCCAAAAGCAAAGGATTCCCAAGGCTCAGACGAGAGCAGAGGCAACAAGGCAAAAGAAAGGACAACGATATTTGAATTCAAAAAACTAGGAACCACTACTTAAGAAAAATGAATAAATCAACGCAAAGAAGACTATTTTTCAACTGAATTAACCAATGTGAATTAATTTCCAAATTCCATTATTCGATGGCATACGTAGTAAAAGTATCGTGAATTAAAGAAAGTCCTCATTAATACCACATAAAAAGACTTCCATATCTGTGGGCCTGTGATATTTCTCAATTTAAATTGATATTTGATTTACCACTTTATTCAATTAAATCATTAAGATAACTATTCAAGTGTAGGACTAAATAATATCTTTTTAAATAGTTGCAGTTTATTACATGTCATATTATTTTTAAAGATGACTTCAAATGCAACTAATGGAGATCAAATTAGATATGCTATATGAAGACTTTTCAAGTTTAGATTCTTATTTTAGGAAAAGTAACTAGGTTTATTTAATAAATTTTCTAGTATTTTTATTAATTGCTTCCTACTTAAATTAGATTAGTTTAATTCTTATATAAAAGGGACTTGAGCATTGTAATAATTAGACTTGATTATTCAATAAAATACAATTTCCTCTCCCACGTCTGTTTTCTCTTCTCTCTCCCCTCTCTCTCTTCTTCTCCTCTTCCCCTTTCTTCTACATCTTCTCCACAGTCTTCTATATCTCCCCCATTTTCTCCTTCTTTCCTTTATCCTTCTTCTACAAGTCTTGTTCATGTTCGATAGTGTTCTACATGGGCAACTTTGACAACAAATGAGGCCTCAAAATATAAGATTATCAATTAATCATTTCTCTATTATCAACATTCCATTCAAAGACATGACTCGTATGTACAGAGCAATATTAAAAACTAATAATATCCTAACATCTAAATCTTTATTGACACGAATAAAACTTTGGTTTACGTGTTATGTGCATAAACAATAATAGTCGTGCCCAAAGAATTTTCAGCAAAATTTCTCATGAATTGGTCACTATCATACGGAAGCATGCACAGGAAAGAAAGTCTTGCAACTATGCTATCTATTGATATTGCAACTGCGCTAATAAGGGCTCATTAGATTTCTCTGTATGTGGATTTTGGAGCACGCACCTATAATTTCAAAATACACTAACAAAAACATTTAGGAAGCAAAGGGTACATTTCCACTGCATGCATGAACATGTTAAGAAAATGAATTACTTCTGAAAAATCGGCATTTGCATTTGCTCTATAAAAATAGGTACCGGAAGGATGAGGCACCTTTTTTGAAAATTTTCTTTAATAGTCAATCTATCATAATTTAAAGTAAGACCAACCATGGCGACAAAATTAGTTGTCCATTCAATATCATATTCATAGAGTCAAATGCATAAGAACGGCCATGAAGGTAGTGAGTAAAAAAAAAAAAGATTCTGCCTTTGGACATAGTTTACATCCCTCAAAACATTTTTAGCAGCCATAGTACATCATTTGCATTCCAATTAGCATTTACTTTAACTTATCAGTAAAATGCTAATTCTTATATACATGTTAAAAAATCTGAACAACAAATCGTGGAGTGTTCTCACACACCACATGGAGAAAATTAAATAAATAAATAAAATTGAGAAGATATATCTACCTAGCCACATTGTTCATGCAGAATTTACCTCTACCAGAAATACATTTCTAGCCTATTTCAACTTGAGTCATTTAAGGTTTAGGGTTTAACATATTAGGAACACGTAAGTGCTTCTGCCTCGAATAAATCCAATTATTAACTTTCCTTCATATGTGTATACTCACAGACATGATATAAAGTGAAGAAATTGAAATAAAGGTACCTGATGAAGAGGATTTCAGTGAACTTCAGGAGCTCGGATGCACAGAAGAGGAGGAAGTCATCTGGGGATAAATAATTCGGCACGGCCACCACGAAAAGTAGTGTTGATCGGGCGTTTGGATTGGCCAAGATGTTGCCAGTGGGGTTGTGTGAAAGTTCCCGGAAAAGGTGGGCGACGCCTCTAAGTTCAGCCGGCTTCAAATTGTTCGGGCTCTCCGCGGCGGAGGAGGTGCTGGAGGCGACGGTGGTGTATAAGGGTTGAGGGAAGTCCACCGTGTGAATTTTGAGAGTAAACATATCTTCAGAGGAAATTGGTAACTTGAAATTGTTGTTTGAAATCAATTGAATTTTGGAGGTTTCTTGAACAGATTAACTGAAATAATTTATGAATTCAGTTGAAATTGCCGGCAAATCAAGAACAAAAATAGCTAATTGGAATTACCTTAGGCCTTGTTTGTTCCCCATTTTCCAAAATTCATTATTTTCTTATCTTTTACAATATTTTTCAATTAAATAATATTATATACAAATGCAAAAATTTTCCTTAAAAGTTGCATTGCTGACTAGTGACTACGGGGATTGAAAGTTTTGCAATGACCAATAAATATGATACTCCTAATACACGATTCTTCCTATCATTCACAAGGAGAGTTCGAAAGCAAGAATTGAGAGATCGATTAGACTTTTTTTTTTCTACCTCAGATCGAACATGAACTCTACTTACATTAGGATTCATTATTTATGTATCATTGATTCTTCATATGTTTTATTTCGCATATTGATTTGCACTTACGCCTAGCCTATATTCTTCTGCTCTTCATGAACAAACTTGATATTTGCGATCCCAAATAAGATCAATTCATAATCATGTGATCCATTTCTATAGAATGGCTATAACACAAAATGTACTTTTAAATAATCTATTTTATTAAGGAAGAGGGACCAGATTCTAAAATAGTTTTAGTAACTGCATGTTAGCACAAGGATAGATCTTATAACTTTCGTGATGTGCCTCTTTGAGTTGCTTTCTAGTATCATAAATATGATATTTCAGTATTATAGATTTAATTTGATCATTCGAAAAGTTATTTTAGCTTGAATTAGAGGTCTCGAGGAGTAATCTAGTACTTGAGTACTACGGAGTTAATATGATCCCATCTAGAGGCTCCTGAAAATTTATTTCGGCCATCAGACGGGTCACGACGATTCAATCTTGAAAGTTATCAAAAAAATTGTTATTTTCTTCTTTTTCTAGAAGCCTATAAACATAAAGTTATCGTTGAAAAAATTGAAATGAGATAGCATTTTTCTAAAAAAGATTTGAAGTAAACAATAATAGTAACACGAAATATCAATTCAATAGGCGATAAGTTTGTTATAAAGATTATAAATATGGATGAGACAATTTTACAATTTTTATAATTTTTTTCAACATTTTGACATTCGAGATTTGATCTTAAATCAACCAATTAGAAAAGAAAGAAAACAACACAATTACGTCAACAGATGGATCCATCATGGAAACTGACTAATCGCAAGTAAAAATAAACCTTAACGATTAAGAAAATGTCATCATCCGAACCGTTCCGGTCCGGCCGGAAAATACATTATTTTTGAAAAAATATTTAATATATTCGGAAAATACCCTCCAAAAGAAGGCCGGCAAAGCTCTTTATCAGTCTCCACGCGTTTCGTCTTCAGTTTCTCTCTCTGAATTAGTCCGGTATCACAAGGCTACACTTCTTGAACTCTTCACTCTTATATATAACGCATATATATACACACACGTTCGTTTATATGTATATATTTGCGTGCGTATATACAGGTATCGTAGAACACGCCGTTAGTGGCTGTATCGGGAGATCAGTCGGTTCCTGTGTAGATCGCAGTGATTACAGCTCCGATCACTGAAAAAAGGGCCCATTCTCAGTAAGTCATTCTTTTTTTCTTTTGGGTTTCGTGTGTGAAATGAATATGTATACATACACTATCTTGTGTATAGGATGATCGAGAAATGACTTTATTTTCAAGCGAATTTCAGTTTTGATTCAAGTGATGTAATGGATATACAAGTGATTATGTATTTATCGGAACAGATCTCGATTTTATAATTCGTCCGTCAATGTGCCCATACCAAGAAGTCAAGAGTCAAACGTTTTTGATGTAGATGTAGGACTGATTATATGTTTTAATGTATATCAAGATATTTTTAGTATTGTTATTCACTTCTGTTCAACTGAATTTCGATTACAGGGCGTACCCACACAATTTAGAAAACGGATTGGGGTTGTGGTATATATCAAGATTTGAGTGATATCAATATTTGGGTAAGTAGTTTATACGATGGCAGCAAGTACGATCAGAAAGGCAATTGGGGCAGTGAAGGATCAAACAAGCATTAGTATAGCCAAGGTGGCTGGCAATGTTGCGCCTGACCTTGAGGTCTTGATTGTGAAAGCCACGACACATGACAACGAACCTGCAGATGAGAGATATTTAAGGGAGATACTGAATTTGACTTCCTATTCAAGAGGGTATGTCAACGCCTGTGTTATTGCAATTTCCAAGAGATTGAGCAAAACCCATGATTGGATTGTGGCATTGAAGGCCTTGATGTTGGTTCATAGGCTGTTAAGCGATGGGGACCCAATTTTTGGACAGGAGATAATGTATGCCAGTCGGAAGGGGACAAGAGTTCTAAACATGTCAGATTTTCGAGATGAGGCCCACTCGAATTCGTGGGACCATTCAGGGTTCGTGAGGAGCTATGCACGGTATTTGGATCAGAAGCTCGAGTTTATGGTGTATGAGAGGAAATTGAATGGTGGTGATTACGAGAAGAAGAGATATCAGGATGAGTATGGAGAGTTTAGGGATGAACCTGGTTATGGAATGAATAGGCAAAGGTCTTATGGTGATCTGAACGGCTCACAAAAGGAGAGGAATGAAGTGACACCTGTAAGGGAAATGAAGCCAGAGAGGATTTTGGAGAGGTTCAATCAATTGCTTATGCTTCTTGATCGTTCATTATCTTGTAGACCAACAGGTTCTGCAAAGAACAGTAGGATGGTAATTGTAGCACTATACCTGGTTGTGAAGGAAAGTTTTAAACACTACGCAGATATATGTGAGGTGTTGGGCATTTTGTTAGATCGGTTTTTGGAAATGGAATATGTTGAGTGTGTTAAGGCTTTTGATGGTTATGTTAGCGCGGCAAAGATGACTGATGAACTTTCCAACTTTTATAATTGGTGCAAGGATACAGGAGTTGTGAGGTCATCGGATTTCCCAGCATTGCATATAATTACTGACAAGCTTTTGGGGACTCTCGAAGGGTTTTTGAGGGAAAAGGCAAATAGGCCAAAGAGCCCCGAGAAAAGAAGAGAAGCTACTTACTCTCAAATTAAAGAGGATGACGCACCAAACATGAATGAAATAAAAGCACTTCCTCCACCAGAGCATTACAGTCCTCCACTCGCACCACAGCCCCAATCCATACCACAGACTCATCAAGTGACCGAAGAACTAGTGAATTTGAAGGATGATGGAGTATCAGCTGATGAACAGGGCAATAAATTGGCATTGGCTTTGTTTTCTGGTCCTGCTGCTAAAAATCCAAACGATGCATGGGAAACGTTCCAGACAGATGGAGCGACTGAAGTGACTTCAGCATGGCAGAATCCAGCTGCTGAGAGTGGTATAGCCAACTGGGAGTTAGCCTTGGTCGAGTCATCTAGCAATTTATCAAAACAGAAGGCTGATTTAGCAGGTGGTTTTGATTCACTGTTGTTGACTGGTATGTATGATCAGGGGGCAGTGAGGCAGCATGTAAATATTTCTCAACTGAGCGGTGGGAGTGCAAGTAGTGTTTCATTGCCTGGAACAGGCAAAAGTGCGACACCCATGTTGGCATTGCCCGCTCCTGATGGGACATTCCAACAAGTTGGGCAACAAGATCCGTTTGCAGCATCTCTATCTGTGCCACCACCGTCTTATGTTCAAATTGCAGATATGGAGAAGAAACAGCATCTTCTCACACAGGAGCAGCAGCTTTGGCAGCAATACGCGAGCAATGGGATGCAAGGCCAATTGGGCTTGGCCAAGGTAGCTGGCAATGCTGGTTATTATGGTGCTGGAATGTCCTATGGAATGCCCCAACTTACTGGCTTAGGACAGTCTGTGGGTTACTACCACATACCATTCTAAGTCAGACTCTCGATAATGTTCGTATCGAAGCCCCTGCCCTTCTTATTTCTTATGGGTATTATCTACTATGCAACTTTTTTTTTTAAAGAAAAAATTTACAATTTTGCAAAATAAGTGTGAAATCAGGGTAAGGAGATTATTCTGCTAAACGAAATTGTCATTTTTGAATCGGGTCATGTGTAAAAGATAATCATCTATGTATGCCAAAAGAATGTAGTTTTAATTATTTTGGCTAATTTAGACTTCTCCCTTGTGAATAGTCTACTCATGACTAGTTTTGAGTCAATCCAGAGAAGGGATCAACTGAGATTTTTTTTATACTAGACCGAGTCTCTTTAGTCCGGCTGCTGATTCTGATTGGCCTTATGACTTGTTCATAAGTGCTTTGGTCACAATATGAGAAAAAGAATGTCAATGTGTGCATGTATAATTTGTTCTCTCTCCGTAGGAGACGTCATGCTATAGATGACTGAATCTATGAGTACGGTAGTGATTGATGATAACAGTTGCGACATTTTCCCTTTGAATACATTATCTCATTGTTTCTCATGTTCGGAGAAGATTGTCAATAGTAGTGACTTAGTTAAATGTTCGTCCAAGATGGTCATAGAGCTCGACTTAAGACTCCCTTTGTAGTCGCTCATTTGGTAAACATCTGTAACCCACATCTCTTTACGAAGTGGTGAATGCTGGTTTAAACCATCCCATGAAAAAGAAACACAATCCAAATATTTGCACGTCTGTTGTAAACTAGTTATAAACACAAAACAAGGCTAATTAGCACAAAACGTCCCTATCTTTGAGGTCTATTGTGGAAAACGTTCAAAATTTCATTTTGTGGTGCAAAACGTCCCTACCTTTCACTTTTGTAGCGCTCAACGTCCTTTTAGTCTCTTTTTGACGATTTTGCCCCTCATTCAAATAAAATAAAAAGAAAAGAAAAGAAAAACAATCTAACAAATTGCAATGATAGATCCAAACTTTTTTAAAAGTGCAAATGACGATTCCATCAACAATTGAAGTTCCCCCATCGAATTAAGGAGCAATGAAGAATCATCAAAATTGACAAATCCTAATTTTTCGCACAAACCTCCAATGGCAGTAAGTAATCGAATATGATTTTGATACAATTGATGATGACCCAATACTGGAATAGAGGCGCCAGGTGATGTTGAGCTAAGTCCAAGTGGTCCACCTCCAGAGTGCATCGGAAATCGCGTTTTCCGTTGGCTGACTCGCGAGCTCAGTGACAGAACTGTTTTCGATCTGAAATTCAGCCAATTTTACATGTGATATGGGTGAATTGCCACCATGTTTAGGTACGTCTGGATGTAGGGAAGCTTCCAGTAGGGGTCCGCGACCGTGAGTGTGAGCACCGGCACCGGAGTTCGTGTTCTTCTCAGACGAGTTCGCTACAGTCGCGACTCTTGTTGATTTTTCTGCAAAATTAGCTTGTTGTAAAGCTTTAAGTAGTGAATTGATGGCTTGGATAGCTTCGTCCAGGGTAGTGCAGTCTGCCAGGGGTAAGTTTCTGCCATGGTTGATCGGATTCTTGGAGATTCCGGTAGAACTTTAGTTCGATTTTGGTCGAATTCTTGGTTGAATTGTAGTTCGATTTTGTTGTTTTTTGAGGCTGAAATTTGAATAGGAATGTTAGGGGTTGATGAGAAGATGGCATTGGTGCAAAAATCCGGTGGCCATAGTGCCCTGAAAATGGCCGGCAGGCGGCGATAAGGTGGGGTTGAGTTTTGGGAAGAATGTGAAGTTTGGTGGGTTATTTGCACTTTTAAAAAAGTTTAGGTCTATCGTTGCAATTTATTAGATTGTTTTTCTTTTCTTTTTATTTTATTTGAATGAGGGACAAAATCGTCAAAAAAAGACTAAAAGGACGTTGAGTGCTACAAAAGTGAAAGGTAGGGACGTTTTGCACCACAAAATGAAATTTTGGACGTTTTCCACAATAGACCTCAAAGGTGGTGACGTTTTGTACTAATTAGCCCACAAAACAACCAACATTGAAAACTTTAAAGAGCCTTTTTTGTGTAACGAAAAAACCAGCATCATCTAACAGAAAGATCTCGAGAGAAAATAGCTTGTTGCAAAATCGAGTTATTCTAAAATGAGACATGATTGAGAAAATATAATCATTGACCTTCCAGTACCAATGGAGTGACTCTCTTAAATGATTCGCTCATTTGGTCAACATCTGTCACCCACATCTCTTTACAAAGTGGTAAATGCTTGTTCAAACCATACCATGAAGAAGAAATACAATTCAAAAATGTGCACATCTGTTGTAAACTATTATAAACACAACCGCCAACATTGAAAACTTTAAGTGACTGAAAACTAGTATCATTTGACAGAAAGATCTCGAGAGAAAATTGAGTCTTGCAAAATTGAGTTATTCTAAAATGAGACATGATTGAGAAAATATAATCATTGACCTTCCAGTACCAATAGAGTGACTCTCTTAAATGATTCATATGCTTTTACCAGATCAGATTCTGTGTGAGCAGCAGAAACGAACAATCTGATTCCTAAAGCTAAATTGCATTTATCGATTGTAGACCTCTTGGAAGTAACACAAAATACAGAGTCTTCTTTCAGAACCTGCAACCATATAAGCTTCTCCCATCAGAGCAAGAATCGGTTATTACGAACATGAAAAACAATAAGTTCAACTTTAGAGTTTCCGATCCAGGCTAGATATTTATTGAACAATCATTTGAGATCACTTACACGATCAGCTATATCTTCAAGTACTTGTAGGTCGCCCTTTACAGATCCCGTGGAATTCCTCAACTTGAGGAAAACAATTGGTGATTGTGGATCACTCATAATCTCAAGGCCATGTATATCTGATAAACCTGGAATTTTACATGACAACAGACAGAAAATGACACAATTATATTGTCTCAAAGATGAGTCGAATGTGTAAAAGACATAAATAAATACACATTAAGGGCTTGTTTGAGCCTCATTTTAAAAAAAAAAAAAAAACAAATGCATTTTGTAATAGTGTTATGATGGATAGTGTGCAGTTAAAAAATAAGGAAAAAATTTGAATTTGCGTATAATATTATTTTATTGAAGAATGTGTAGTTGAAATGTGGTCAAATCACTGCTCAATAATACATTTTAATGGAAAAAATGAGGCTCAAACAAGGACTAACATACAAAAATACACATGCTCACATATAGGGAGAAAGAGAGAGAGAGAGAACGACCATTATGGAGAGTAGCAACATTTTTCTTCAACTTTGTTAAAAGATCCAGATTATCTTCCAACACATCAACAGCAGCAATTGCAGCACTTGCTAGATATGGAGGTAAAGAAGCAGAAAAGACATAACCTGAACTACTGAGACGCTGCCAAATGAAACGGACACTGGGCATTAGTAAAGGAAAAGTGAAGAAAGTCTATGCAATATGGTAACCACAATTTCCGGTAAGAATGATTAGCTCGATCTTTCAGTCTTCCAGAACACGGATGTGGTTTACTATTGGTGGAAATTAAGTACGTAACCCTACTTGGTGATCAATGACTCTGGCGCTCCCAGTGCAAAATCCTCCTTCAGCAGCCAGTGCATTTCCCATAGCAGCAGCTACTATATCTACCTTCTCAATCTGCACCAACAAAGCACCATATAACCAAAGAAATTTGATAATTAATAGTACCAGAAAGGTTATAGAAAACATACAGGAACACCGCAGTGTTCAGTTAGACCTCTACCGCAGCTTCCAAGAACACCAAAAGAATTGCTCTCATCTAATATTAAACGGAATCGATATTTTTCCTTGAGCCTGACAATTTCATCCAGTGGAGCAATTTGGCCAGAATTCTGAAATTTCACAAGAGCAGTAACAAATTAACATTTCAGGATCCAGCATGAAGTGATGATTTGAAGTAATGCGTTTGAACATGTGGCAAATATAGTGCAAGACGTCAATATTTTGGTCAACGGCCAACGTTTTTCACCGGTTGAATTAATGGTATACCCATGCGGCGTGGGAAAAAAAAAAGGCCAATTAATCCAGTATATTCATTTTTCTCTGCATAAATACTCCAATGTACATACTCATACATCACATCCATGTAGCAGCTCTACAGTGCATAGTGCCACATCATTCATGAATATCATCCATATGTGAATAGTACTCAAAAGCTTGAGTAGTCAGAGGTTAACATGAAACAACACCAGTTCACTCATTCCTTGCATTATATATTTATCCCAAGAAATGCAGGCATTTAGTTAGTATGGCATCTCAATGATTTCTTTGAGACAGTATTTTCACAACCAAAAAAGCAACAATGTTTTCTTCATTAGGACCAGTATTTCTTCTCAATCACACAATATTGCATCAAAGAAACCATTTGAAGTTCCATAGGCACTCAAAGCTATATGAAGCAAAATTTTCACCGGTTTGGCAACTTCTAATTATAGGATCCATACCATGTACGTACCTTTTTAACTCCGATGAAATCAATTGAAGTATAGGCCACAAAGCATAATTGCAATATAAAGCAAATAAAAATGATGATGCAGTCCTAAATCCAAATTAATATTATCAAGTTACATTATTATAGTTAGATTGTTTAGAGAGCTTTAGGTGTATATTATAGCACAAGGGAGAAAATAACATCTTTTTCACTGGTTATCGATCCTGCCAAACGATAAGCATATTTTTATTCATAGGTTACTGATCCTGTCAAACTGGAATTCAGAAAGACTCCTAAGGTTTTATTATAACAGATCTAGGATCTACTGAGAGCATTGCTTTAAGGATTTTTTAAATTTTCCAGATTCCATCTTCTTTCTTTGAAGGTTTTATGAACTTGAGATAGTAACGATATGCGGTCTGTTTAGTACTAGGGACATTAGAAAACTGGCCAAGCCCCAAAGACAGTAAATACAGTTAAAAATTCTGGCTGATGAAAGTTTGGCAGGATTGGTCTGCTATTCATGACCACGTCTTGTTCAAGACACGAATTGTAC